AGCGAAGCTGCCCAGGTCGGAGCAGCGTCCCGTCCCTCCGGAGGAACACAGACGGCGACCACGCTCTCCAATCGAGCCCACCGACGTGTTTTTTCAGGCAGCCGCAGCTAGCAACAACGTGCGCTGCTAGCATATAGCATGTCCAAGGGATTGAAGGCCGCAGACCTGCCTTGGAGACGAAGATCTCCCTCTGTAAGCAGCTGACGCCAGCTCAACATGTGTGCCTCTCCCACGGTTTGCCTTGTCGGGGACTGCAGCGCGGAGGACGATGACCCAACGATCCACCTGGCTTCGTTACTCCCCTCGCTGCCGGAGAATCTGCACAAGACCTGATGAAGCCCATCGCGGACGCGCTGTTCAGAGCAGCTTCAAACCATGCTGGCGAAGTGAAACAGTCGGAGGAGGTGCCAAAAGCTGTTCGCCACCTCATCAAGCCGCGCGGCCCACCCCGTCCCCGCTGGAGGGACCGTCGCGAGCAAGTTTTCGATTTTTCCACGGCCGCGGCTCTCGCTGAGTTCCACCACCAGCCCCGCCCGTCAGAATCCAGCCCTCTGCACTCCGGCAGCCTGCAGCTCAGCGTTTCCCCAGAGTTCGCCTGCAAGACAGCGCTCTGGGCAAACAATCGCAGAGCTCATGAGAGAGAAAGCTCTCAAATGACGGTCTCCGGAGGGTGTGTGTAAAAGTGACACGAAAGTTGAAATAAATCATCATTAATGATCCAAGTGTCTGTTTTTTAGCCAGTCTGTAAGCCCGGATCAGCTCACAGCGGCCGCACACATAAGAGCGCACTCGTGGGATGAAACAGCCCCACACACGAGCCGGTGTCCTTAAATAAAGGTTTTTAACTCACCGTCGCTCTAAGACATGACGAGTCGATCACAGAACAGCCTCCACACATGAGCCGGTGTCCTTAATTAAAGGTTTTTTAACTCACCGTCGCTCTAGACATGATGAGTCGATCACAGAACAGCCTCCACATGAGCCGGTGTCCTTAAATAAAGGTTTTTTAAACTCACCGTCGCTCTAGACATGACGGGTCGATCACGGCACAACGGTAAGCGAAAATAACTCATTACCAACTAGAACTGCACGATCCTCACTCAAGCGGTGTCAACTCGCACTCGTGGGATGGAACAGCCTCCACATGAGCCGGTGTCCTTAAATAGGGTTTTTAATTCACCGCCGCTCTTGACATGACGAGTCGAACACTAAGATGACAGCCTCCATCCAACGGTGCTGCGTTGATGCTGGCGCACACAGCTGCCGGCGCTAACCAGCTCACATCGGTATAAATGTGGTCCGCAGGCTGGTCCGGGTGGGGGTCCTTCTCTCTCAGCTTTCGGCAGCTCACCGCAGCTTAAACGTGAAGCAGCCGAAGAACCCGGTAATGAGTCTCCCTCCAGCGCGCGCCCCTCCAGCGAGAGCGGCGCGCGTCCCTCCAGAGAACAACGTGTGCTCCCGCGGGGCTAAGCAGCCTTCACTCCAACAGCACGGTGTAAATGAAGTCACGCCCTCCGCCTTTCAACGTTCGCACAGCGACGTCAAACGCGCAGCTCACCGCGTCATCAGCTGTCACACGCTTCGCCTTCAGCTCAAGTCTCGCCCGGGGTCACACAGAAAACATTCCCGCGACGCATGACGGCGGTTGAGGGACGGACTGCTGACAGCCGTACAAAACATGACGCATCATTAACGCACGTTCATCCACGAACGTTACGTAGAGTGGCTAAACATGCTCGCCGTTTTTCAGATGGATGGACAGGGTTTATGCAAATGGTACAAGTTACAGTTTGCAACCCGAACCCCTCCATTCAGAGGAGTTATATAAACGGTCCCGTCATCATCATCAGACTGATTCTCTTCCCTAAATGCAGAAATCCAAGTGTTTTCTGATAAAAGTAATCTACAGAGTTCCCCAAGGGAGAGAAAACACGAGGGTTTTTACTCACGGATCGACCGTTCTTGGATCTGTTGTTTAACATCCAGAGAACGCATACCGATCATCCTAAAACACAGAGACGAGAGTTTTTTGTTTTACCTGGATGATCTGCGGATCCTGTCACTTCAGACAGGAGGCGCTGATGCAGGATCAGGTGTTGACATCACACCTGTTAATCTGGGCTTCGCCATAAGTGGAAGGAAGCTCGATTTTCCCGGCCCTGACATTTGTTTTCTGGAGTGGAATTAAATTCAACCACCATGAAAACTCGTTTATCACATGAGACGCCTCTAGAGGTGTTTTTGCACGTCTGCATGTGGATCCAGTAAAACAAACGACACATGATCATTGTCTTTTCCTCTGTGGAAGCAGACCTCCGACTCTGGGGAAACACCTTGTTTTTCTATCAGAGGGAGTCCCCCTCAGCAGACCCACGTCATGGGTCAGTCTTCACAGACACGTTGCTGTCAGGCTGGGGGGGGGACATACCTATCTCAAGCAGTAGGGGCGCTGTGGCCCCACTACACATCAGCCCACATCAATGTTTTGGAGTGTCGCACAGTACTGAATGTGATTCAACACCTTGCTCCTGTGCTACAGAATCAACACGTGTTGATTCACACAGACATCATGATGACTGCTGCGTACATAACCATCAGGGTATGCGTTCAGCCAGATGTTACACATTGTGCGAAAGCTACTGAGTTGGGTTCATCAAAACCTGCTTTTATTAGAGCGGTTTACATATCCGGTGTTCTGATGTGACGTCCAAGGGCGGCCCACGTTACGTGGACCGGATCCTCCATCCGGATCTGATGTTTCCAGACGCAGCAGAAGTTGGCAAAGCAGCTGTGGACCTGTTTGCGATGCGAGAAGAACGCTCAATGTCAACTACGGTTTTCCCTGAGCCCGCGAGACGATCCATCGCTGGGGGGGGACGCATTTGCTCACAGTCGGTGGCCCAAAACGCTTTTTACGCGTTTCTTTTCCCCCACCTCCTCTGTTTTTTACGGTCCATGAACCGAGTTCAAGAGGAGGGATTGACAGCTCTCCTGGTGGCTCCCGGCGTGTGAACGCACCATGGTTCCCAGGCCTGCAACGTCTGTTGTTGGGTCGCCGTGGAACTGTCATGGAGGAAGGATGCTCTCCTTCAGGCAGGAGGAGCGACCAAGAGTTACCCAGAAATGGGTCAACACCGGTGGGTCTGACCGCTGAGCGGTCCCACTTAGAGGATGGGTCTCCCTCAGGAGATAGTGTGCACAATTCAAGATTCACGTGCTGCATCTACCACAGTTCTGTACACATCAAGGGGACGGCTTTTCAGCGCTGGTGCACAGAGAAGTTTTAGAGACCACTTCATGCCTTTTAGGCGGCGTGTTGTTTTTCTACAACAGCTGATGGATAGGGAGTTGGCTTTCAGTACGCTTTAACGTACGATTGCAGCCATCTCTTCCTGCCACAAAGGGTTTGGAGACAGAACAGCTTTTATCACCCGCTGATGAAGCGGTTTCTAAAAGGTGTACAGAGATGTAGGCCTGTTTTCACGCCCACTTGTTCCACAGTGGGTTTAACGCTGGTCCTGCGAGCCCTGATCAAAGCTTCAATTGAGCCTCTGGATCAGGTTTCATTTAAATTCTTGTCTCTTTTAACAGCCCTGTTGCTGGTTTTAACACCCGCTAAGAGGATAAGTAATTATCTGCCCTCTCTGTTGCTTCGTCATGCCTTAGAATTAGGCTGACGGGCAGCTCAGCTGATTTAAGACCAACCCAGCTTTTATGCCTAAAACATCACGAGCTCTTTTAAATCAAGAGTGATATCGTTGGAGGGGTTTTTTTCCCCCCACAGATCAGAAGAGGAAGCATCTGTTCATCTTCTCTGCCCGGTGCGGGCGTTGACGTGTTACATAACGCACACAGCTGCAATGCGTTTCAAACTCAACAATTGTTTGTGCATTATAGAGATGCTTCTGCAGGTCGCCGTTATCCATCCAGCGCTTGTCACACTGGCTGTGTGAGGCCTTTTCTGAAGCCTACAGAGCATCAGATTTAGGGCCTCCTGTCAACCTCTAAGCACATTCGACCAGGGGTATCGCATCTTCGACTGCTCTGCATAATGGTATGTCAATGTAGGACATTTGCACTGCGGCTGCATGGTCAACACCCTGCTCATTTATTCGCTTTTACCTACGTGATGTAACGGCTCGTTCCATGACACATTCTGTCCTTAGTGCTCTAACAGAATGAATATTATTGTTCTCATGGAACTCTGTTTAAGCTCACTTCTGTCTGCATGCATTACAGTGTGAGATGTTGTTATCAGTCACAGTTGTGTCTGTGTTTCTGGTTCTATTGTCACTAATCAGTTCATGATTATTGTTACCAATCAGTTCATTTGATTATTTATCAATTCATGGACATTAATCTGTTTATACTGTTCAGCCATGAACCAGTTGGTTCATGCCCCCCTCCCCCCCCTCTTTTCAACTTCCTCTTCCCGTTGAAAGTTTTTCCGGGGTATTCATGCTTGTCAGAACGCATAGTTACACAACATGCGTCTGTGCATGGCACATAATTACGCGATGCGTAGTTTATGCACACGGGGAGCTGAGTGACAAGACGTTTTTTGGGCAAGCTTCCGCTTCTTACTGTGTTCGAATGGACCCAGTGAGGCGAGGACCACATCCGCTTCGCCCTTAAACCATCAGCGACAGCCTTAAAGGGCGAAGCCTATATGAAATAGAACGTTGGTTACGTACTGTAACCCCAGATTCTATGAATATAGGCGTAGCCCTTTAAGCGTCGGGCCTCACTGGCTCCTAAATGGCTGAAGAAAAAGCTATTTTGGGAGCCGATTTCCCGCTCTTAACGTAATTTATACGGACCGGGTGGGCCCACACAGCAGGTGGGCGTGGACTAATTTTTTTCAGTGCTTATGCTCTGCATAACGGGATAAACCATCAGCGACAGCCTTAAAGGGCTACGCCTATATTCATAGAATCTGGGGTTACAGTACGTAACCAACGTTTGTGTAGCAGTTCAAAAATGTATTAAGACTGAAATATACAACTTACACACGTACTCAAAGTTGAAACTTGGTTTTACTTTGGCTCAGTGGAGAGTCCTGTTGACTGAGTGAACATTTTTTTAATTCGATTGGCCCAGAAAACCGTTGTTTCCCCGTGTTTGGACCCGATGTTCCTGAATTTTTTTAAACGCTGCTGTAAGATGTTACTCAGGCTCAAACGCGTCCACAGGAAGTGACCCAGCACGGACAGACCGGGGCGTGCAGAGCACAGCGTCAAAAGCAAAAGCAGTGAGGCAGACTCAGAGCGTGCTAAAGAAGCCGCTGAGAGCTGGAGATGGTTTGAAACTGTTCGATTGTTTACCTGCCCTGGTGAAGGACGGGACGGTTCCGAGGCAAAGGGCTCTGTTGAGGCGTCCAGGCAGAGTGGAAGGAGACGGCCTGCGCTCGCGAGGACCGTGATGGCGGTTGATGAGCTTGGAGAAGTTGGGGGGTGGGGAGGGGACGAAGGAGTCTGCCATGTCGGGGGTGAAAAAAGGAGGGTGGCTGCTGAAAGGTGGGGCCGCAGGGCCGCCTGCAAGATATCTGCAACACAAGAGCAACGTAACGGTCTACGACCTGCAGTCAAGAGCTGAAGAACGGAGACACAAACATGCACTAAAACGTTCCCAACTAAAATTATTCCATTATCAAATTTGGCTCCACTGGTCTGTGAATTGTTTTTTTTTAAATGGTTGAGTTTTACAACAACAAACAATAAAATGCACAATTCCAAACGGCAATATTGCATATTTAAAATGACATGTAAAAAATAAAACAGCTGTAATGAGCTCCAAGGCAGTCTGCAGCAAGACATGCAGCCTTTGCAGCGGATTTAATTAGTTTTTTTAGGTGAACACTGAAGAAACACTTCAATAATGGCAATACGCATCCACACGTAGTCAGATTTTTTTATTTTTTTTTCATTCAACCTTTATTTATACAAGTTAGTCTCATTGACTCATTTTCAAGAGAGACCTGTTTTAGACAAACCACAGATAAGGTACAAACAATAAACAGCCATAAAATGCATATAAAATGAAAAGTAGTGTTAAAACTAAAGTCAAGCTACATTATAAAACGAGGTCAAATACTAAAAACAAGAACATGCCTGCACTGATTTTTGCCTTGAACTTAATTGTTTAAAATCCCTTAGAGAGGTCAAAGTCGACAACGTCAGATCTTTTTGTAAGATGTTCCAGGAAACAGGAGCAGAGTGGGAGAACTTTCTGCCAAGTTCAGTCTGCACCGAGGGGACGCTGCGGGTAATAATGTCTTGAGAGCGCACGCTGTAACTGCACTAGGAGGCGATGCATGAAGGCAGCAGACCAAGGAGTGATTTTTAAAGATGAAAATGTACCAGTGAGAGTCTACATGAAGTTAACGATGACCAGTTAACCAGTGAATACAGGGTGCAGTGATGGGTACGATAGTTACAACCAGTTATGAATCTTAGCGCGCCGTGATAGACCACGTCCAACATCTGCAGGGAGCTTGTAGGAGCGTTCATGTAAATAATGTCACCGTAGTCAATGGACGGTAGGAACATAGCAGCTACAAGGCGTTCAGAGTTAAACAAGATCTATTTCTGTAAAAGAAACTCCGTTTTTATTTCAGTTCCTTTAAGTTTTCGACATGCGGCTTAAAAGGGAGATGTGCATCCACCAAGATTCCCAAGTATTTGTAAGAATCAACAAACTCAACAGGAACATCGTTCGTAGACAAGACAGAAGGAAGAACTGCTGGGACAGACTTCCTGTTTGAAAACAACAACCCTTTGCTTTTATCAGCATTTAGCACCAATTTGAGAGACGGAGCTCAAACTTGGGAGATTTGAGCCAAGAAAAAAAGCTACGCTAGTTTTAATCAGAACAATTACTTTTATTCTAAATTCAGTGCAAAACAGAAAACGCTGATGAGGAACATGAATAAGAGGGTGTTTGTGTCGTCAAGAAACAAGCAGAAGCTCTTGTCTTTCTCTAACTGTTTATTAGAATCAACATACAGCAAGCATTACTACAGACAATTCTGAAAGTGGCACAAATACATAAATCTGGCTCCCAGTTACAATATCACTTGGAGTACGATGTAAGAAACTCAGCCGCAACAAACCTTCGTGTTCATCGTTGCTACAGAAATCAAACAGCTTTTACTTTAAAACCACAGATTGTTGTTGTGACTTACTGATGTAAGAACGAAAACACAAAGATTAAACCGAGACAAACTGAACTGTGTAACACGACACACAATTTGGCAATTTATTAACTGAAGCTCCTTTTATAAACCGCCTCATCGAAGGCTTCTCCTCCATACACAGATAAATCACATGTTCCAAAAACACAGAGCAGAAAACACACTTTTAAAGAAAGCTCTCGTTAAATATTGTAAAATGGGTTTGTGAGTTTAATAAATAGTAGCTTAAACATATATATATATATATATAACCTGAATGAAGGCAGTGCTTTTAAAACTAAATGCTTTATTCGTGCAGCTTATGTAAATACAGAAATTTGATTAAGAGTAAACAAAACAAAGACAATAAAAAATACCCAGGCCACACATAAATACAGAACAAGCTTTTTGGCCACAGCATGCTAAACTTTAGCACGTTGCAAAGAGGCGAAAACACAGTGTCTGATGCATCTTCTGCTTATTTTGAGAACACGCACACAATCAGGGGTTTCAGTTGCACTGAAGTATTCAAATAAATATCAAAATACTCCACCTGTACAGCAATATTTGGTAGTATGAGGTGTCGGTTTACTCAATACACTACACTGAAATTGTTTTTAGATTTTATAGATTTTATAACGAAGATGAAAAAAAAGTAGGGATGCACGATATTGGGATTTTTGGCCGATATTTTATCACTTATTTGGCCGATAACCGATACCCGTACGGATATTTTTTCCCCTAGACCTACTTACAGAGACTACACAGCTTTCTTTGCTGTGGAATTAAAATACTACATTAATCTGCATGGTCTTTGTCAGTTTGGCCTGCTACCAAATGTGGATGCCAAAAAGGGTGCTGAAAATGATGTAACACTATATAAACATATAATGTATATTTAAAAAATAACAGCGCCTTTTATATTGGTGAGTTATTTTGATGAAATGGCCGATGTCCAATATTTAACTTTATCACTAATATCGGCAGATACCGATACCATGCCGATAATATCGTGCATCCCTAAATATAAAGAGATCAGCCACAACAATAAACAGAAAGTTAATTACACTACATGCCATCAAATCTTTCCGTACACCCAACAAACTACATATTTAATGTGAAACAAACAGTCAATACCAGCAGCTCTGAGAAAATTACTCCAACACGCAAACCCAGATTATTTTAACACTGGTACCACCACACTAACCAGAGTTAATAGAGTTTGTAATTAATTACACATTTTCAAATTATCCAATACAAAAAAAAAAAAAAACCCAAACAGCAACAAACATGTAGTGAAAAGTTAGCGTGTACAATGTTCGAGTATTTAATAGATGAACAAATGAAAATGTTGATCGGTTGTGGAGTCAAGAGAAAAAACAAGTTAATTCGATGGAAATGTAATTTTAATTTTTAAGATAAACCACGAAAACTAGGTTCAATTCTGTCTCTACTTTTTTTGAAAATAAATAATGAACTTCAGGGAAAAATATTAAGATCATTTATGTTTACTGATCTGAGCGCCTGGTGTTTGAACGTTTCATGCACTGAACCAACAAAGCGAACAGAACTAACAGTAAATGCTAAAAGCAGCCGTGTACCTGACAGGAAGTCCTCCATCAGCAACAACTTTCAGCTACAGGTACAGGCATACTGAGAAAAATATTGCCAATTTGAGTGTAAAAATGTCCAAAAATACAATTTAATTCATGATCAGGAACATACAACAGTATGTGAGAATAGGAGGCTGGCTACATTCATACTACAATAAGTTCTTAGTGCCTAAAACCTTTGTCCTATACAGATAACATATTTCTAGACTTTTTTGGGGGGGGTAAAACTGGGAATTAATTCAAGTAATAGACACTAATAAAGCACCGTCTACACAGAGATCACAGCAGAATGGGCACAAACGGCAAAAAACACAAGAGTTTTTAGCTAAAAAAGGGATCAAGTATTGAGTCCATGTAGACAAAAGTTAGATCTTCATAACGCCGTTTTACCAAGTTACTCTACATCACAGCATATACTGTAACACGTGCACTAATAGATCAGATTTCAGCACGAGTGATTCTTATTGGACACTTTCTATCACATTACAGTCACAAAACCAGAGACCACTCGAAGGGTTTACCTGCGAACTCTGTGACTCAGGCAGAAATGATCACATTGTTAAAGAGGCTTTCTTCAAAGCTTAAAAAATAACTATAGGATTAATAAATATGTCAACATTCCCCACACACCCCAAAATAATCATCTGAGCTCCTCTTCAGCTGTAGATGATGTGCAATACATAACTGAACAACAACTACAACTTGTGTCTTAAAAAAATACTGTTTCATGCAATAATCTGTAGTTAGTGGAACAAAACTCAGTTAATACATATATTAGTAAATAACATCTTTAGATACTCCCAGTAGTGTAGATCACAACAGGTAATACTAGGTAGGAATGTGAATACTAGTTTTAATATACTGATTAGAATAAAAAACAACTTCAATGGTATTTTAACTGGTAAGATCAGTCCATCACAAAGTTGATTTGGTGAAATACTTTAGACCAACAGGATTAGGTTGAAAGAAACTTTCAGAAATCACATCATGATTATTTTCTAAAAAAAAAAAATGTGTAGCTTATATTGAATATGTTAGCTTAGAAACATTTCACTTTAGGTTTCATGATTTAAAATAAAAATGATGAGGAAAATCTTTCAAACTGTCAGTAAATAAGAAAACAGTGCAAGGCTGTTTCTTTTCCCAAGTTTGAATCTTCCAACCTTCTCGTCACAATTTACCACTCACATTTCGTTATCTCACAGTAGAAATCATTCTCACAACAGAGGACAGTGAAGTGAACAAGGACACAACAAAAACTGGATTTCCTCAAATAAAAACCAGGATTTTGGAGTACTGGACCAAGCATTTAGTATTAACCTGCAGTGATCCAATATTATTTATCTGTCCTAAACCACTTTGGATCAGTGCCTTCAATAAATGTACGACATGCATACACATCTTTCACAGTAAAAGCTCTGCCAACAACAGAGGGGGTTGGTACACCTAAACCAAATTGTGTTTTTAACTTGATAACACGCAGGAACGTTTAAGTGGATTTTAACAGCATCAGCTACAACTTTTTCCACGAGTGGGTTTGACAGAGAAATTAAATTTGTCATGGTTGAAACCACTGCAGCCCTTTTTCCATCCACTTTTACTGCGGAATATGAACGTAAAATAACAGCTGAAGAACGAGATAAAAAGGGTAGTTAGAAAGGTTTTTCTGCATAGTGTGTTGTCGATTTGTATTCAAAAATTCTAACAATATTTATATAACCGATTCATATCATACACCTTGTCATTATTTCCTGCCTAAATATATTTTAAGTTTGCAAACAGAAAAAAAAAAAGTAATCTGTTTCAAATGGCAGATCACAGATTTTAGGACTTTGCCATACTTTTGATTCAACTTTATGGCATGAGCTTTGTACTCTTAAATTCAACACAAAATGGGAAGTATAATAAAAATAAATTTTAAGGAGGATTTTGGTGGAGAAAGGCAGAATAGCATGAGTACACTTTTCAGAAATTATGAAAAACGTGGGGAAAAAAAGTGACAATTAAACTGAAATCAAACTGAAAATTCCTGATTTGGTTACTAAGGATTTTCTTGTTGTAATGTCTTATCACAAGGACTAATTGATAAACATAAAAAAAACCAGTATCTAGTACAAGTCGGGTACCCCAAACAGCTAAAGCAAACAAAGGTCTTTATTTGAGGAAACGCACAAAACTGATCAGTTATGTACTCAAGCATGTTTTGATCTGATTACACAAAAGAACGCAGAGTGAAGGCTCCCAACTTTCAGACCCAACGTGAACACACATTACTGCTCAGGTTCTGACCTTCGGTATCGGGCTCGTCGCGGACCCAGTGGTTTGCGAGTTGCAGCAGCAGCAGCAAAGCTGACTAGGCAACAAAGGGAGACGGTAACAAGCTTGGCTGTGTCCATCCAGTTCGAGGTATTCGTCAGATAGCTCTCAGCCAGGTGGAGGCACAAGATGGAGAACCACAGAACTGAGGCCACAGCATCAATTCTCCTCAGCCTGAAAGAGCACAAGACATGAAAAACATGGTACAGAATCGATCCAGGTTTTAAAAAAATAAAGGCATGATAACTGCTTACCTCACAGGTCCTGCTAAGAAGATAGCTGTGAGACAAGTCAACAGGCCAGCAGAGACTACCCCCAGCTGGTTGTCCCTTCCATGCTGCCACATTATCCTGGTATTCTCTACGGCCTTGTCGGGGAAAAACTCCAGCAGACTCTGCCATACGAACATAGCTGCACTGCTGTTGTTAGAGGTGGATTCATTCTTTAATTGAGGCTTGGGAGGAGCGACACCACCACTTAATGTTTGTGACCCACTTGGTGAGACCGATTGTTCCGGCAATTCGTAGAGAGACACAGCAAGCAGGAAAGCACTTGTGAAGAAAACGAGGATCCGTAACAGTATGACCCCTGTTGGCGAGGACAGAGAATGGGTGCTCTGTGGGAGACAATTTTTTTTATTATTAAACCTGGCATAACAGAACATGCAGCACGGAGGAAGCAGACTATTGTTCATCCACAATGATGTATTTTGTCAGTGAGCCAAACTTTAATTAAAGAACTGCTTAAATACAAAATGTAGATCATTGACACGTTAGCTCTATTGAAATTAAAAATATATATTTTGAATATGATTCATCATTGATGTAAAATACATAACCTGGTGAACAGGAAGTGTCAATAATAAATAGCTGAAACAATCTGCACAAGTTCTTTGTGTAAATGTTCTTAGAATGCACAGACATGTCAAAAATCTATTAAGTAATATCTAATGCAAAAGCAATTATCAAAACGTACTTAATTGAGCTCATATGTATAATCTAAATTTAAATTAAAACTGTTAATGTGCCACTGAAGAAAACAGCAATTTTATGGCAGTATTCATAACACGTTTTTTTTTTAATCATGTTTGATTGTATAGTAGAATTTGTTTTTGAGATGATAATAATGAGAATTTTTTTACTCCTCTTTTTACACATTTATTATTTAAGTATAAAATTAGCTCTTCTATTTTGACAGTTTTGCACTGACCTTTACAAACTCCGTGTCAGACTCTCGAGTGCGTCGAAGCTGGTGATTTAGGAGCACCGTGCGAAGCTGGCGGTTTTGGTATTTAATATAATATTCCACTGCTGTCTGACATGGTCTGCATAACTTATAAGTCTGCTCTAGGTGATGCTTGTAGGCTTCGATCTCCTCATCATAGTTGCCCTAAACCAGAAACAAAACATATTCAGTTGGTATTATACATTCTTTTGACATTTGATATAAGTAGAACATATTGGACAAAGTACGTACATCATCCCTGGGGATGTATGAAGCCAGCTGTTTGATTTTTAATGATTGGTTGTTATTGCACTTCCTGCACAGCAGCATCTGACAGTTGACCCACTGCAGTGACTTGGGTGTCTCAGCGGATGGAAGACCTCCAGATACGCCGTGATTCAGATGCTCCATGTACTGAGCTGGGATGGGTTTGTTGTAATCTCCGTTCTAACAAAAACAAGCAAAAGGACAACCATAAATAAAGATTGCTTAAAAAAAAATTACTGTCATGTGTGATCTTGAAACTTACCTCTTGGAAACCATTGTACTGGTCACAGTTAGGACAGTCCCAGCAATTTCTGTTTCCATAAGGCACCACTGTGTTCTGATCACAGAACCAGCAGTTAACATTTGCATGAGTGGGCTTCTTTCTGTAAAAAAGAAACAAGTTTCATTCCATTATAATCTCAAACAAAAAAACTGATACATATTCCTATGTGGGACCCACAGTCAGCACATATAACCTGAATGAATGTAAATAGATATTTCAGAATGCAAGCAACACCCCCGTTAATGTTTACATATTTTTTCCTATACAAACACAAAATTGTTAAAGGCAAAACTCTTGAAAAATGAACTACAAACATGGAAAAAAAAGCTACATAATTGTTAGGCACAGACATTAGGTTTTAAGTCCGTTCAGCACAACTTAAAGTATTTCTCTGGACATTTTCAAGTTAGTAAAAAACACATGCTTTCAAACTGTAGCTGACTACATCCATATGTTCAGATGAGATTTGTTCCAGTTAAAAAACAAACTGACTGAACTGGCTTGTGTAACTACTTTAAATACATTTTTACCAACTAGCAACATATCCTGTTTTACGTTTAACTTTACCAGTGTGATCATGGAAGGTGGAGAACAAAGTTTACATTAGATAAATGTGCTCATAAAACCTTTCAAACGTAGTTTACAAAATGTCAACAAACTGCTTGGTGAGTGCACTTTACATGGAGTAGCTACCTACGTTAGCATACAAGCTAGCGAAATTCAACGGCTGCTAATGATCAAAATCAAATGCACTTACGAGTTTTTGTCTTGCAAATACGTTTCTTAATTAAAACATAGTTGCTTTAAATTATGTTCTAAATTATTAAAATGCTCTTTGTGATGACATCGAAAAGCAACAAATCATTTGGATCCAGAACCTAAACACAATACCTGTTAGCGATCTTGTACATCAGCGCTCCGCCTGCGATAACCGCAGTAGCTCCGACTCCACTGTACATTAGTTCAGGATATTCTAACAGAAGTTTGTTAAATGTGTCCATTTTCTTTACGGAAATTAATCGAAAGGTTATGCTGTCCAGTTTGTGGAGGTAAAACACCGCGCCGTAGCGCACGCGGTAAGCGATTTCTTTTGTTCACGCCCATGAAACGGAAACGGAATATGCGTAACACCTGGCTGCGTTCCAATATGTTTTATCCCTTCTTTTATGGTTCACATTTTAACGTAAAATTAATATTGTTTCATTTTATTACATGTATATACCCAGCAGAAATAGCTTTAAATTATTTTTAATTTTGTTTGTTATATTTTAATGTATATTTTAACTTTTCGCGAAGGACAAACCGAGTGGAAGCAGTATTGGAATGGGACTTCCTCGATGCTTGCTGCATTCGGTGGTAACTGGTAAAATAAAGTTCTACATATTTATCTAAAAATAACCGGAACGCAAAACGCCACGAGTTAGCTGTTAAATTTTTATTTGTCGGTAAACCGAACAAAGTTTCACAACATCCTTTTTTTTTTTTTTTTACAATATCTAAAGGTAGGCTTTAATTTACTAGTAAAATAAAACTCTTTCTTACGGTGTTCATGAACACACCGGACAATAGCGCGCTCGAACACTGTTTATTTCCTTGTTTAGGTAAACAATATGTGTTGATATCAAAGCAACAAAACAGTCTTGAGGTACCTTTTGACATATTTGCTACACATTTTTTCCACTTCCAAGGCGCAACAAAAGCAACACATAAGCACTCCACCCAATCTAAATATTAAATATGTTATATATTAATTTAAAATCTGTACTCGTGTAATTACAAGTTCCAGATTTTTCAAGTAAATTATCTACTTTTTCAAGTTTGTAAGCTATTTTATGAGTGGGATGAACTTTTGTGGTTTTTATGTATGAAATCAGTCAGTTTAGTTACTGTATGTATTACTACATGATAATAATAATAATGATCATAATAGCTGGGACTGAGTCAATAAAAGGTATGTCATGCAAAAATAACATTTTATTTTAACAAACATATAGTTCACATTAAGAAACATTCGTAATCAAATAAAAACCTGCTTCAGTTCCATCAAATGATGGGGCAGCTCCAATAAAAAAAGAGGAAAAACAATAAATATGGAACCAAATATTCAAAAATACAAATGCAAAAAAAATATAGAGCAACAACAGATCATTTCAAACAGTTCTTTCGTTTCCAGTTCATGACTTTATTTTATTACCAATTTGTCATGCAGTAAATGTTATTTAGGCTTTTTGAACAGCAGCCTGGAGGCTACAAAAACAGCCAAACTTCAGCTCAAACACGAGAACAGCCAACAGTTTGGCACCTCATCCTCTGACAGCAGAAGTGAAATGATGGAACAGATGAACTCGAATGTCTGTCAGGACTCAGGTCCCTAAAGGTCCGAGAAGTAAGCCAGGGGCGCCAGGGACGTGAACTGCTGGTAGTTGCAGCCCACAGAGACCGTACCCCCGTCCGGACTCACGGGCTGGGTCACCCCGCCATATGGGTACCCGTTGCGTGGAACCAGAACCGACGGGTGGCGGTTGTAGGTTCCGTAGACCGGGTGGAAGTGCGGGTAGCCGGAGCCGCCGGTGGACGCGTTCAGGGTGTGTCCAGACACGGCGTGCGGTCCGGGGTAACCGGTCGTCTGGGTCGAGCCGGGCTGGCACAGCCCCCATGACGCACCGCTCACATAAGGCTGCAGGTAGAGCGGCTCCGGGTACTCCACCGGGGTACCTGCCAGGTAAGGCGCGCTGGGGGGTCTGGGGAGTCTCCTTACCCTCCTCCGACGCCGGAAGTTCCCCTTCTCGAACATGTCTTCAAACGCGGGGTCCAGCGTCCAGTAGCTGCCCTTCCTGTCCCCCCTGCTGTCCCTGGGCACCTTGACGAAACACTCATTCAGGGACAAGTTGTGCCGTATGCTGTTCTGCCAGCCCTTCTTGTTCTTCTCATAAAAGGGGAACTTGGAGATGATGTAATTATAAATCCCGCTCAGAGTGGCTCTCCTGTCTTCGCTGTCCTTGATGGCCATGGCAATTAGAGCCACGTAGGAGAATGGCGGCTTCTCCAGGTGGACCTCCTCACGTGTGGCTTCAGCGGAGCTGCTGATGTCCAGGAGCTGCTTTGGTTTCTCCTCTGCGTCCATGCTTCAGGTAGGACAGCGCGCGCGTGTGTGCGTCCTGCGGGGCCCAGCACGCAGCGATATGAAGCGTCCAGGTGCGCTCACTCCGCCCATTGGTTGATTCACCAGAGACACTCGGCGTCTTTCATCTCAGACTTTTCTCACGCTGTTTATGCTGCACATGTGCGAGCCAGTTGCTGGTGTTTGGGATGAATCGAGGGTCGCAAGAGTGTGTTTTCAAAAAGTCCACATCTTCTCACTTTGTGGTGTCCACCATCAAAGACTGACTTGAAAAGTTTGGACTTATTTTTGTCAAAGTCCCTCACAGCAGGTGGACAAAAGGTCGCACAAAAAAATGCTGGCCTGCTGCATTTCAACACAAGCATGACACAGTTATAATGCAGGCAGATGTTTACATGTGTAAAAAAATTGTTCAAAAACAAGTAGATGTCATCCTCAAAATAAGCTTAGCGTTTTTTAGTCCATATAGCAAAAGATTGTATAAAGATTTAAATATGTTTGTGTGTATATAAACTAATATGTTAGATTGTATTCAAGGTGTAAAAACAAGTGCAACTCATCCGTTGACACAGCCTGCGTGGTTTGTGTGTGTTTTTAACCTTTAACACAGCTTCGTTCATTGTTTCCAGCTCTGAGGTGTGCGGTTGGGTTTTTCCTGAAACACGGTGGATCCACGAGGCGTGCAGGTATCCGAGCCCAGCTCACCGCCCACATGCAGGCCAGGTCTGAACAAGGAGCCTGTTGGTCCGCAGATAATGATCACCTGCTCTGCAGACGGTCTGTCATTCTGAACTGATCAAAAGGTGAGCATCCAGGTGAACAACAAGCTGCTCTCAGGTGAGGCTTAGGTGGCAAATTTGGCCTGTGTTATCAGTAAATCCAATGCAATGCTAAATTAATAACTCCATTGCTTTACAGCATTTGTTTTAAGGAGAATTATTAAGACTCTCAAAGTTTTTTTCTTCCAAAACCTACAAAAATCTACACACAACACCTGCTCCACATTGTCGTCATTACAAACTGGTGCACAATTAGCTTACTGAAGAAACACCTTCAGAAACCTGCTAATTTATCTCTACCTGTGACGCCTGCCCTGAGGGACTCCTTACAATGCAAACATAACACATTCAAAGACATTAGCTTTAAACAAAAACCAACTGGAATTACAAAGCCCTTAAAAATTTGATATTAGGCTTTTTAAATTCAAAGTAAAAGCCCATGTGAGCTTCGTCAATCAATACCAGTGAAGAATAGATGTACTTTTTTTTAAATATTTTTATACCATATAGTACAATTTAAGAAAGTATCATGGTTTTATTATTTCATTTTATGCTTATGTTTAATAAATGTTTTAATGTTAAATGGTTATTGTTGCACCGGGGTCTGAGAGAAATGTAATTTCAATCCTGTGTATGTCCTGTACATATTGCAGTTTTTGACAATAAAGTGACTTTGACTTTGACTTTGAATACAACATAGATCACAACCAGTATGTTTTACAGACCAAAGTCTGTGAGGTGAATGGTTTCAGAGAAATTTAATAAAATATTACAGGTTCTTCCTCATCATTGAACATTTGTCCTTCAGATTTTAAGAAACTGTTCATTTGCACCAATAAGTAAATTTACCAGTAACCTAATTTTGTAATGGAAAATGTACATTAATGACGTGTGTGTAAAATTCATTGCACAAGTTTATGGACTGTCCAAAAGTTATGAGGGAACAAATTATTGTCTTGATGAAGATCAGTGTTGCTTCAAGAAGCTGCACGTTGAGTCAAAGTTGCCATAAGTTCAAGGTGAAAACCAAACAACTCCCATTTTGCATTTACTTTAAGTGAAATATTCTCCTCATGAATCACACCATGTTAATATTGACCACACAAAAGTGATTTTGAAGACAATGTCTTTTGCACCTAAAATGCCAAAATCTTACACTTTTATTCCTCTTTTATCATTTTGCCTTGAATAAAGTTTAGATTCTGTATGTGATCAGAGTGAAGTCACAGTAACTAAGAGCTCAGACCAAACTCTAAACCAGTTTTTCCCCCTAATTTGAATAAAGTAGTTTAACGTGTCCACAGGATGATACGCAATACGCTTCCATAGGATGGTGCTGTAATAAAAAAAAGCAAAAGCGTTGCTATGATGCGCTGAAGGCTCGATCAGTGCATATCTGTAGCTCTTCCCTTATGACAGCTGGGATAAACTCTGCCTCCTGAACAGGTATATAACCAACGAATGAATGAATGAATGAATGAATGAATGAATGAATGAATGAATGAAGCTTTATTTAAATTAATAATGAGAAAGAGCCTCTGTCTCCTGTGCTCAGTTTAAAAAAAAGTTAAAAAAAAATAAGTAAATGAGGCACGGACTCTGTTAATAAAAGTTGTTTCAAATGTAACGGAAAACTATTACTGAGTTAAATAAATTGGCTTAAGGCACATAATGCTAAAAGAAGTGATGCTTAGACATGAGTCCTGATAGATTTAATTTTTTTGGCTTATTTAAACATTTATTCTATGTTAATTATGCATGCCTAATTAAAAAAAAAAAAAAGCTAAGTTTGAATTTAACATAATATTGTTGCAAACTCAGACATCCCTCTCCGCAGTGACACGCTCCAGCTCCTCCGGGGGATTTCCAAGGCCTCTTGGAGACATCCTGACCACATGTCCGAACAACCTCAGCTGGCTCCTTTCAGTGTGGAGGAGCAGTGGCTCTATAGCTCCCCCCGGACGGAGCTCCTCACCTTCTCTTTAAGGCTGAGCTGATGGAAGAAGCTCCTTTTAGCTGCTGTCACGTGTCATGATCCCTAACATACGACCATAGGTGAGCGTTGGAACATAGACAGAGAGCTTTGCCTTTCAGCTCAGCTCCTTCTTCATCACCAGAGACTGGAGCTACGTCCTCATTAATGCAGACTCAGCCCAAATTTTTCCATCCATCTCCTGCCTTATGAATAGATGGATTGTATGGTTTCCAAACCTTGTAAAAAATATGACAAAACCATGCCATTATTGTAATCATTGATTTTTCCTGCAAATGTGATGTGACTCAGTAAATATAGTTTTAAAGCATTTCAGTTTCTAAAGATGGTGTGTATATAATTAAATTTTAATTCTGACATGCTGGTAATGCTCTGAAGCGCATATTAAAATTTATTTCAAAGAACTGACCAAAGATTTGTCACAACTTGGCTGGAAAGTCAGATAAGGACCACAAATAACAATTTTTTTTTTTTTATTAACTTAGGAATGCAGAAATAATCAGAGTCAGAAACTTGAGCAACGAGCTCTAAACAGAAACCAAAGTGTGAACGCAGAGCAAACCAAGAGGAAAAACGATGGCTGGTTTTGTCATTTGTGTAGCTGAGCAGCAGCCAGGTGTGATGACTTCCTCTTCACCTTGGCGTGATAAACTCCGCCCACTCATTACATTCAGGAAATTTACTGCTGACCTTACTCTTTCTGCACAGATAAAGCTTCATCTATTCAGATCATCAACGCTCCTGAACGGTGGTTTAACGTCTTTGTTTTTTCCTGCTCGTTCTGATTTGCGTTGGATATGGATATATATATTAATGTGTGTGTTTGTTTGTGTGCCGCGAGGGTAAAGATCAGGATGTCACAACAGAGCACAATGTTTGTGAGATGAATGGCATCCAACTGCAGGCAGTTCTGTTTTCAGGTTCAACCAGTGGAAGATTCTTCTCTGGGCTTCTGCCTCCACAAACACTGATCTTGTTCTTCAACTTCACATCTTTTCACATAAATGATAACACACTAAACTTTTGTGTCAGATCAACAAATATACTGTTGTTTAAATAAAATATTGTTGGCTATCATTGTGAGTTATACATAAGGGCACCCTCTTTCTTACTAAAATTGCGTATATCTCTCAGACTCTAACATTAACATTAATACATTTTCACGTTCAAGACAAGAACATAGACTGAACAAGTATGACCTTTTTTGGAAAGGTTGTCTTTAAAAAAAGAGCATGCGACAGCAAAGCTTAGGTTTGCTAAATTGCTTCTGAACAAAACACAAGACTTCTGGGACAAAGTCTTCTAAACAGACAATTTACAGCTCAATCAACGAGACAATCAAACACAGCGTATCAGCACCAGCATCTCATAACCGTAGTCAAGCACGGCGGTGGAGGGCTGATAGTTTGGGACTGCCTTGTAACCATGGGTCTGGGGCTGCTCTTGTCACTGATTATATGCTCCTCTGTATAAAACTATACAGGGAGCCATTGGTCTTAAAGTAGGTTCACATTGTGTCTACCATAAATAAACAATCGCATAACGACGTACGTTCGTTTAGATAATGATTTGTCAATTTGTCACATCTGTCAAAACAGAAACATACCAAAGCTGATGACAGAAAAGGCCTTCATAGCACTAAAGCAAATAAAAGATATCATGTTTGGTGGAAAATCAGAACTCAAAAATGCTTGAATATAAAAAAAGCTCATTTATTAATGATAGGGATACACGATATTGGATTTTTGACCGATATCTGATATGCCAATATGTTAAAACTTATTTGGCCTATAATCAATACACTGCATTTTTTCCCCCCTAGACCTACTTACAGAGACTACATTGCTGTGGAATTAAAATACTACATGATTCTGCATGGTCTTTGTCAATTTGACCTAAATGCAGATACCAACAAGGGGCTGAAAATGATGCAACACTTCAACTTGGATTATGTTTAATATCAAATTTATTCATGACATTTACTCTCTCTAACACAATGACAACATTTTCACAAATCTAAACTCAACCTGTTCACAAGTGACAAGTGCACAAGTAGTGCATTAATACTTGACTGTTTCTTAAATTAAAAAATTAGCTTAAAACTGAAGCCTTTTTATATCAGTGAGTTATTTTGATCAAATTTCATTCACAAGAGAGACCTGATTTTAATAAAGAGTGATGACAACAGTGGACAACAAAGACAACAATAGACAATCATAAAGGATGCGTACAAACTGAGATTTTTTTTGTTTGT